ACACAGCAGGCCAGGCAGCATCAGAGAAGCAGGAAAACTGACGTTTCGGTTCTGGACCCTTCTACAGAAAAAGGGTCCAGATCCAAAACGTCAGCTTTCCTGCTCCTCTGATGCTGCCTGGCCTGCTGTGTTCATCCAGCTCTACACCTTGTTATCTTATACATCTCCAGCAGTTTGCAGCAATCCCCAACTTAGAGGTGCTTGGTACCTTTGTGGATGAGGCCATCTGTGGTCACCCACTTTATTTATTATGAAAGAAGAACCAACACATGCGCTATGCAACACAGGACATCTTTTTGTTGGTTGAAGATGCTCCACAATTTTTTCACATTGATTAATTTAACCCAGTCCACATGAAGTGATTGAGTCATAGATTCACACAGCATGGAAACAGACCCTTTAGTCCAATCAGTCCATGCCGAGCATAATCCCAAACTAAACTCGTCCCACCTGCCTACTCCTGGCCCATATCCCTCCAAACCTTTCCTATTCATATATCCACCCAAATGTCTTTTAAACATTGTAATTGTACCCGCATCCACCACTTCATCAGGAAGTTCATTCCACATGTGAACCATCCTCCATATAAAAAATTTGCCCCTCATGTCTTTTTTAAATCTCTCTCCTCTCACCTTAAAAATGTGCCCCTAAACTTGAAATTCTCCATCTTATGGAAAAGACAACAGCCGTCAATTCTACCTATACTTTTCATTATTTTATAAATTTCTATCAGGTCACCTCTCAACCTCCAACGTTCCAGTGAAAAAAATCTCAGCCTATCCAGCCTTTCCTTATAACTCAAACTTTCCGTACCTAGCAACATCCTGGTAAATCTCTTCTGAACCCTCTCCACCTTAATAATATCCTTCCTATAGCTGGGCGACCAGAAATGGACACAGTATTCCAGAAAAGGTCTCACCCACGTCCTGTACAACCTCAACATAATGTCCCAACTCCTATACTCAAAGGGCTGAGCAATGAAGGCAAGCGTGCCAAATGCCTTTAAAACCACCTTGTCTATATGTGACACAAAGTTTAAAGAATTATGTACCTGCACCCCTAAATCTCTTTGCTCTACAACACCACACGGACCTACCATTAATTGTATAATCCCTACCATTTTATGTTGCACGAAAATGCAAAACCTGACATTTATCCAGACTAAACTACATCTGCCATTTTTCAGCCCATTGACCCATTTAATCAAGATCCCTTTGAAATCTTAGGAAACCTTCTTCGCTGTCAACTATGCCACCAATTTTGGTGTCATCCACAAATTTACTAACCATGCCTTCTATATTCTCATCCAAATCATTTACATAAACGACAAACAAAAGAGGACCTGGAGCCAATCCCTGTGGAACACCACAGGTCACAGGCCTTGAGTCCAAAAAGCAAGCCTCCACCATCGTTCTCTGTCTCCTGCCATTAAGCCAATTATGTATCCAACTGGCAAGCTCACCCTGAATCCCATGTGACTTAACTTTACTAATTAGTCTACCATGAGATAACCCAGTAGGTGAGTGAGTAAGAAGCACAGTGGGTATTGAAATTTAAGAGTTTGAGAGGATGAGCTGGGTATAAGCCCTTGAGTGGACACGATGTACATGATGCTGCGGTTTACAGTCCATCACCTTTGGTGATATGCTTGTGAGGTTCAGAGTTCTGTGAGTGTGTAGTAACAGAAAAGATGGTGTCACTCACCTTTCTGGAACACAGATCATTGACTTTCTTCTGGAACTGTTGCTCATCCTTCATTAGTTATAGTATTGACCCACCCTGCAATTTCTGCTCAGGCTGGATGCATCTTAAGCATCAGTATTGAACAGAATTGACCTACACTCAGTGACCATGTCCAGCAGTATGTGGATGGCATTTTTGTTAAACATTGAAGCCAATTTGTATGCATAGGAATCAAGTTTCAATTTTGGGGTGACCACGACAGGCTGAGGGGATGCGCAATCTTGCAGCATCCAATTTGATGTCCAGCTAAACTTTCCAAACCTAGCACCTTTATGGACGCTTTGATTCTATAAGATTCTGCTCATAGCAGGAACCTCCAGTTCACACCATATGTTTCATTAAGTAACTCATGGAACATCTAAATGACATAGTTGAGGAGATGAGAAGCATGAGATCTAGTAACGTAACTCACCCTGGGTTATGACAGACATTACAAGACCCAAAATGATCACTCCCATATTTTAACTTCAAAAGGGAAAATGACAAAGATCAAAGAGCGGTGCAGCACAGGAACAGACCCTTCAAACCACCAAGACTGTGCCAACATATGATGCCTTTCTAAACTAAAAACCTTTTGTTTCTACATGGCTCATATCTCTCTATTCCTAACTATTCATGTATTTGTCAAGATGCCTCTTAACCATTGCTGTTTTATCTGCTTCTACCACCTTCTCTGGCAGCGCATTGCAGGCACTTATCACCCTCTGCGTACAAAAACCTGCCTAGAGTTACAAACAAGGTCTTTGGGCCTTAATGAAAATAATATGCTGATGCCTTTCTTAGTTATTGCTCTCATCCTTGCTCTCATCAAGTCCATTGAGTGAACTCAACTGAGTCAACAAAGTGAAATTTGCTACTTGTTATTACTCTATATATTTATGTATTGCCTGTGAAATCAAACAACTTAACAGTTTTTATTTAATCTTACAACCAAGTACTCAGTCCACTTTCAATAAGATTGGAGAAGACCCCATGAAGGCACATGCAAAGGTCATGCAGTAAGTTCAAATCATACAATTATTTAATTAGATATTGAACAATACATGCACATTACTGAATGGGAACCCTTGGAATGATTACAGGAGTGACCACCTCTGACTGTGATACCTAAGACAATCCTAAAACTTGTAAACATCAGGCTATAGGTTAATGTGTGACTAATAAGAATCAATTTAATTGCATTCTACAATTGCCAAAATCTTGCAGTACTTTAAATAGAATAGCCTTAAGGACCTGTTAGCAAATTCTAGAGTCCTGTGATCCTGTCCATGAAGCAGACACCCTGGAATAAATGGTTAATGGTTAATGTTGCTTATGGCTTATTTCAATCAGAAACCAAGGGTTTCAGATAATAAAACTGAAGACTCATGTCAAAACCAGAATGTATGCTGCTTCAGAACCAATATGATTTGATAAACCTGTGATAAAAAGGCCAGAGGCTTTTCAATTCTTGAGCAGCTATCATGCGTGAAATGGGTGAAAATGTTTGGCCCAAGTGAAATAACTGTGATAGCTGATAACTCAACTCTAAAAGCAAACCAATGCACTGAATGCTATGATACTGACCTATACATAGCAAAGATACATCCGGCTTCATACCCACACCAAAATCAGTGCTGGTTGGAAAGTTGGCAAGAGACCTGCACTGTCTCTTCAAGGTAATAGATCATAGAGTGCCTACAGGCCCTTTGGCCCAACAAGTACACACTAAACCTGAGAGCATCCCCCCAAACCCATTCCCCCTATCCCTGAACACTAGTGGCAATTTAGCATGGCCAATCCACCTAACCTGCACATCTTTGGATTGTGGGAGGAAACCGGAGCAAACCCACACAGACACGGGGAGAATATACAAACACCACACAGACAGTCACCCAAGGGTGGAATCGAACCCGGGTCTGTGGTGCTGTGAGGCAGCAGTGCTAACCACTGAGCCACTATGCTTCCGAATGCCCATCAAATCAATATGCAAGGTCACCAGTGAGCCTTCCTCTAAAATCAAGATACCAGGGGTGTAAGTCCCAACCACTGGGAGCTGCTGACCAGACATAGTTCTTGTGCTCGGCAGTGTTATGGAGGAGGCCATAACTGCTGCCAGACATACACCCCTGAGAGTACTAGAGTCTGGGAAAACCCAGGTCAAAGTTAACTTATGTGTTAATGGAGGGGCGTTCTTTAGTTGGGGCCATGGGAAATGAGAGGATAGTGAAGTCAGGCACAAGGGCACTGGTTGTCTCCCAATGGGCTCCTCCTTGCCTAATGCCCAGTCCCTTGATGAGGCACCAATTTCCTTCGATTAAGGTAACACACCACCACCACCATTAAGTTGGTCACCACAGTTTGACTTGTTGGGCATGCTGCACAGCACCCACTTAATGGCCTCAGTTGGCAGCAGGACATGAACGTCAACTGTGTGCTTTCCTGCCAAGAGCCTAATTCTGCTAAATGTGTTCGGTGACAGGGTTTGGACAGTCCACCAACCTGACAATTCAGTGCTCTTCATGCCTCCAAGTTCACCAACTCTGGCAGCAGAAGATTCAAGCCATGTACTTTCAAGCAGTGAATTGTAGCCAATCTACCAGCAGCAGGTTGGTAATCTACTTTGGATTTCCTAACCAAGGGAAAAGAGAGTTAGACAAGATTTGAAACCTTACTCACTATCCAGTATCTTCTTGTCAGAACTTGCCTGTGTAGAATGATCAAATAAACCTGCTGACATTCACTATCCAGACTCACAGAAGAAGAATGGCCAATGGAAAAATGGTGAGGGGCTTTCAGCACTCATGAAACTGCGGTCCTGCAGGAGAAAAAGAGAAAAAAAGACTCACCAATATAAGGTTTGCTTAACAAAAAATGTACACACACATGTAAGCAATAAAATCAAGGATTAGTTTCAAGACAGTAATCTAGCTAAGGTTCCAATGACAGTACAAAATCACTGTGTTTTGCAGATGTATTTTCTGATGTCATCTGAACCTTCCATTAAAGCACTGGCTTCTAATGACTCCCAGGTATCCATTATTTGACATAAAATAACAAAATCATCAGAGACATAAAACACTGAGGCAGTGCCTTGACCTTCTATGCCATTAATGTGTAGTCTGTACTTCTCCCTGGGAAGCAACTCAAAGTGAAGGCGAAAACACTTCTTTCTACTTGAACTCAATTCATCTTGGGTAGTCAAATGTTACTAGGTATGTAATCAGTTTGTGTTTTATCAGCAAAGGGAAAAGCTAGCAGCTGTGCTGTCCATAAAACATAAATGATGTGCATTCAAAATTTATAGTATGAAAAGACATATTAAGTCAAGTATCCTTCAAAACATCATCAGTGTGATTGTCTGAGAAATGATACTAGCATTTAACATGAAATTATTGGTTCACTATCACAATAACCATATGTTTTCATGACAAATCTCACATGAAAACAATCTCACTTTGCACCAACACAGTAATTGAAGCAGAAAGTCAAATCTATGCAGTGAGCATATCTTCTGTCATGTCATATGACAGCACTATTGTGTTAAACTGGGCACCATGGAGACATTGTGGGCAGAAAAATTATTCGTTTGACCCTGTTGGCCCATTACATTGTTCACGCTTTGTTCATCATTAAGCTGAGAGATGAATCCTAAATTGACACAGAGCGTATCAGGGATAGCACCCTGCATGTCTTAAAATGAGGTAGCAAGCTAATGAAACTACAAAACAGAACAGGGATGTGTAGCTAACAAAGCAGAGATCTAAAATGTGCTCATAGCAAATAGATCAGAAAAAAGAGATCTCACTTGTGAATGGTGGTAGCCAACTGGCAAGTGATAGACAGAATAGGAGCCTCCATGATTATCTATGCCTTATATAAGTGAACAATGATATGTTTGGAAGTATTTTCATTCAGAAATTCTAGTTCAACAACAGATTTATTCTCTACCTAAAACTCAATAATCATCAATCTCAATTTCTAGTAACAAATCAATTCACTCCATTTAACATGAAGGAGTTATTGGGCCACTGAACAGTGCAATGGGCATGAAGCCTAAAAAACACCAGGCTGTTGTGTTGAACGTTAGGTACCAGAGCTACCCATGTCTGTAACTCTATGAAACTGGCACCTAACCAAAAATGTGAAGATTGCTTAAATTTTATTCACAAAAATAACTGAATAAATCAAACCTCACTAATCTCCTCCCTAACAAGTTCATCACAACTATAGCGCAATAGAAAAATGATAAGACAGAAAGAGGCCATTCAGCCCATTGTGCCTGCCGTGTGGTAGATGATGTTCAATTCTGATAAGTGCGAGGTAATGCACTTAGGGAGGTTAAACAGTAAAAGGGGATACACAATAAATGGAAATATACTGAATGCAGTAGGTGAAGTGAGAGATCTTAGTATGTAAGTGCTCAGGTCTCTAAAAGTTGCAGAACAAGTAGATAAGGTTTAAAGAATGCTGTCCTTCATTGGTAGAGGTAGAAAATATAGAAGTGGTGATACAATGATGAAACTGTATAAGAAACTGGTAAGGCTACAAGTGGAGCATTTTGTGCAGATCTGGTGACCACATCACAGGAGGGACATAATTGCTCTGGAGAGAGAGCAGAGAAGATTGACTAGAATGTTGCCAGGGTTGGAGAATTGTAGCTACGAGGAGAGATTGGACAGGTTATGTTGTTTTCCTGGAATTGGAAAGGCTGAAGATGGGAGGGGGGAGTAGACTTGATTGAAGTAGCCAAAATTGTGAGGGGTAGAGATGGAGTAGACAGGAGGAACTTGTTTCTCTTGGCACAGATTCAAAAACCAATGGTCATAGATTCAAACCAAGTGGCAGAAGGATTAGAGGGGACATATGGAAAAACTTTCATATGCAGAGGGTGGTGGTTGTCTGGAATTTGCTGCCTGAGTTGGTGGTGAAGGCACAGATCCTAAACTCCTTCAAAAAGTACCTGGATCTGCATCTTAAGTGCTGTTAGCTGCAGGACAATGGGTCATGTGCAGGAAGATGGGATTAGAAAACGCATTTTGGGTGACTTTGGGTCTGTATGGAGAAGATGAGTCGAATGGCGCCCTTCTAAGCTGTATTATTTCTATGATTCTCTGGAATAATCAACAATAGATTCAAGCAATGCCTACCTACAAACAAGCTGATCTCCCATACTCAGTCAGGGTTCTACCAGAATCACTTGGCTCCTAACCTCATGGCAGTCCAGACTTAGGCATGAACACAAGAGCCAAAAGATACGAGTTATCCTCAAAGCAAATTTAACCATAGTCGTTTGTTGAAGAACCATAATGAAAGTGAAGGCACTGAAGGCAACTTGGAAACCAAAGAGACTGAAGTCAATCCTAACACAAAGGAATATGGTGACATTTATCACTAGCCAATTCTCACAATCTGAAGAAGACAAAAATGAACTGAAATCTGTACCTGTGTATAATTGTTGTCATACAACCCTTAGAACCATTCATTCCATAAAAAAACCTGAAACCTTACTTGCTTTGGAAATTAGCAGAGAAAAACTCTGAATAGCCTGTGTCGATCTAACTCAATTCTGTACGACTAATTCAAATAATTTCTGGCCTTAAAATAATAAGCATACCTAGCAAAAATTCCGCATAAGGCACAAAATCATACAGACTACATACAAATCTAGATGCTGGTATCTCATTTCAAACTATATCTTGTATTAAGACAGCTAATAAATGCATTTGAAAACCAACAAACCATATTTTACAACTTTGTAAGTTTTGCAGAACATTTGTTACACCAAATAAATCACTTAAGCTGCTCAGGTGAATGCAGGATATTGAAGTCCATAAAGTCTGATCAAATAGCCACATTTCTACAAAAAAAAACAATTCTGCAATTTTTGGTTTGTAAAAATCAAAATGATCATGAGCAGAAGCAGTTAATAACTTGCAGCCATCAGAAGGTCACAGTTCTTTGTAAAAGGAGGTTTACCTCAAATCCCACAGCTCTGTCAAGGAACAGATTGGAAACTTTAAAAGAAATTCTTGATCACTCTTTTCCGGCACTGGTTTCTAATCCAAATCATTCTGAACTGCAGCTTCGTGAATACACTACACAGAAGAACCTCGTAAATTGAGACACAGAATGACAGAAATTTCCCACCTGGTCTGTGTCTCACATATATGTGCCATATATTCGCATCATTTTCACGGACAGCTTGATTATACTCAGCAGTTTTATGATTTTAGTGTTTTTAGAAGCACATCACATTACCTAACAGCTATCAGGAAATAGTGTTGGCATATTATTCACACTACTTTATTTGGCAAATGATGATCCACTCTTCACCCTATTGTGTTTGAGTGCAATTTAAGTTAGCATGTCAAAAATATTGTTCTTGTATATGAATGATTTTAAATATGGAAGTCTCAGTTATCATACATCTAGTTTTGTAATAATCTGTGTGTGTGTGGTAGTTCTTTGGAATGATGATGATCCTTACGCAAGAACCTGTGGCTGGGGTCTTTTAGTGTGAGGAGGCTGTTGCACTGCAGCTTTCACATGCTTCTGGTTGACCAAGAAACGCCCCCATTCTCACTGGCTAACTTAGGAGAATATGAAGGATTTAAAGGATGATTTTTTACTTTTTTGGCTACATTACGATATGCCTTTTATGAACATCAAGTTTTGAGGTTGGATCTGAACTCTTGGCTTGTGGCAAAGTTGTTAGGATGCTACCACTGTGCCATAAAGCCTCAGTAATAATGTCAATCAGATTTGTAAATCTCAGTTGAAAGTATTTACTCCACTAGTCTTAACTGACCACAGTGTAGAAAATCCCAAACTTGCAAAATATCATGGATTTTTGCAATTTCTAACATAAACTATCCTTTCTGTAGTTGATCATTTATAATTTCAAAAATATTTTTGGCTTTGGAAAAATTATCTCTTTTTTCTTATACAAATTTTTTTAACTTCTTCCTGAAAAGTTTTATTCCCATTTTTATTACAACCCATCATCTACATTTCACTTGGGAATTTTTATTTTCATTTGAATGAATGGTGTGATTAAGTATTGAAACTATTTACTGCATGCAACAAACACAAGTACAGAGTTGTGCTCTTATGAATTAGTGACCGTGACTCAAATGTAGTCACTGGACCCTGAAATAATAAATAATCCATGTATGAGATATTCTGACAGGATATAATGGTCTTTGATTATTAACAGTAAATGTGAGCATCAGAATAATCATTAACTAATGCTATATCACAGTGCATACATGATATTGGAATAACAATTTCAGACAAGAGTTAAGTCTGTGGGCTTGGTGCCATCTGTAGGGGGCATACTATGCCACCAGCCACCCTCAGCGTGGACTTGCCTGGTTGCCTTCCTGAAGAAAGATGCATGTGTCATCATTCATAACAAGTGCTGGAACAAGGAGTACCATTCAGATACTGGACAATTCTCAAAGGGTCAGATAATGAATATGTGCATCAATGAAAAGAATGTCCATGAAGCTGTAAAGCATTCTGGAATGTTTTTCAAGGTGTTTTGGTGAATTCTGAATTGTTTTCAGAACATATTGCTCCATTGGGATAGCAGAGAACTAACTGCTGTATCCACACAAAGACTACACTGGGTATGAGACAGCTGTGGTAGTATTTCTGGGTCTCCTGCACACCAGGAACTTGGATCAGAGCGGACAGAAAGGGAAAGCTCTATGTGATCCATTCTTCTAAGTTGCAATTGGATTCACGCAATTCAACCAATGCACCCAGCAACGTGGTATGCATAATCATATAGCACTCTCCTGCATGCAGTCTCATTGAAGTCTTCATCTGAGTACTCTGCAGCAGCACTCATGTGTAACCTTGTTCTCCAGTGAATTAACAAATGAACCATCTTTTATTTCTTGTTTCTGGGTGTTGGCTACTTTTTCTTCTGAGCAATGTGGATGCAATAGCTAAATAGTAACAGTGGGAGATCGATGTATGGCAAGCATCATTGCTGGGTATGTGAAGATGAGGTGAACCATCATGTTAGGCACAAGTTCTGAATTACTGTGAGAAAGATAGGATTGTTGCGTATTGAGCAGATCGGCAGTTTGGTGCTGAGTTGGGTAAGAGGTGTTACATGAAGGTGTAAGATCAGAAATTGCTGAAAAAGCTCAGCAAGTCTGGCAGCATCTGTGAAAACAAATCAGAGTTAACGTTTTGGGTCTGGTGACCCTTCCTCAGAAAGTTCTCAGGAAGGGTCACCGGACAAGAAACGTTAACTTTGATTTCTTTTCACAGATGCTGCCAGACCCGCTGAGCTTTTCCAGCAACTTCTGTTTTTGTTTATGGCATGTGCAGTTCTTTCATTTTTATGTGAAGGTATACTCACTGATTTTGAATGTCGTTTTGAGACTTCCTAAGGCACTGCACTCATGGCCTTGGTTCCAGACTCCAAGAGTTGATCTCCCATGCCACTTCCATGTATTCCTTTCTGAAGACATTTTTGCAGACTTTTGATTGCTTATGGGAATTTAATTCTTGCCCACTTCCATGACGAATTCTTTCAGAACATCACACGTCATCCTGGAACCCTTTCTCGTAGCATTTCCCATTTTTTAAAATTCCAACAACTTTATTTGTTGCTGCTTCCTTTAAAGCGGGATAGACTGTCTTTAAGAAGAATGGACTTATTGCATTACATGCTCTCGGCACATTGCTGTTCTTCTTCTTGCTGAGCACAGAGCTGCTGGAAAGGGCGTAGAGGAAACCAGCCGTGAATGACCTGTTCACCCCTTTGATGCAATAATGTTAACAAGGTGGGAGCACCATGTTGTACTACTGCACACTTCAAATGAAATTGGTACAAACAAGTCACAAGCAATGAATAGGACAGATGAATTTTTGGTCTTTCGTTCTATTAGTATACCTATTACCAGGTATGTTCCTAATAACCTCAACTCCTTCCATTTGTTAACGAGGACTTGTCCAATTTTTGCTTTAAATTCAAGAGTCACGCAGGTTATGTTCAAAATACCAACTGACTTTCTGAATTTCTTTTAGAACTAGAACATAGAACAAAGAACTGTACAGCACAGGAACAGGCCCTTCAGCCCACAATGTTGTGCCAAACATGATGCCAAATTAAACTAATCCCTTCTGCCTGCCCTTGGCCCATATCCCCCCATTCCTTGCAAATTCATGTGTGTTTCTCTAGAAGTCCCTTAAATATCCTATCGTACCTGCCTCCACTATCACTCTTGGCAGTGTGTTCCGGACTCCTACCACAGTATAAAAAAACTTGCCCTCACATCTCCTTCGAACTTTTCCCCTCTCAGTTTAAATCAGTATCAGATATTTCAACCCTAGGAAAAAGATTCTGACCATCAACCCTATTTATGTATCTCAAAATTTTATAGGCTTCTCCCCTCAGCATCTGCCACTCCAGGGAAAACAACTTGAGTTTTTCTAGTCTCTCCTTATGTCTCATACCCCCTAATCAAGGCAGCATCCTGGTAAGCCTCTTCTGCTCCCACTCCAAAGCCTTTACACTTTTCCTGTAATGTGGCGACCAGAATTGAACACAGTATTCTAAGCGTGGCCTAACCAAAATCTTATAAGGCTGCAACATGACATACTGATTCTTGTACTCAGTTCCCTGGCCATTAAAAGCAAGCAGGCCATACGCCTTCTTTACCACCCTATCTACTTGTATGGCCACTTTCAGGGAGCTATGGACTTGAACTCCAAAGTCCCTCTGTACATTAATGTTGTTCAGGATCCTGCCATTAACTTATACTTATCCTTAACATTTGATCTCCCAAAGTGCAGCACCTCACACTTATCTGAATTAAGCTCCATCTGACATTTCTCCATCCATATCTGCAACTGATCTATATCCCGCTGTATCCTTTAACAACCCTCACACTATTCACAACTCCCCTGATCTTTGTGTCGTCTGCAAACTTACTAACTCAACCATCTACATTTTCATCCAAGTCATTTATATATACATCACAAACAATCTTTTATTTCCTGCATTAAACTGCATCTGCCATATCTCTGTATACTGGTTGAGATGCTTTTGAATTTGCACACGGTGATATTCATTATTTATTACTGCTCCCTATTTGCTACTGTTTGCAGATTAGGACAGTTTGGATATAATTCCATCCTCTTAATCATATACAGGGCATCCCCAATTTATGAACATCCAAATTACGAATGCTCATACTTTCGAACTTGAACCCACACAGAGATTTAATTTTACAACCATTTTCTATATTTACGAACAGCTACTTTTCACTGTCCTGCATTGTGCTCCAATGTACGTACAAACTGACGTGCAATCAGACTCCAGAATGGAACCCATTCGCAACCTGGGGGCTGCCTGTATCATATACTATACATGATAACTGATCCAGAATGGAACCCATCGGCACTTTGTTGGCGACTGCTTGCCAACTAGATCACAACATACGAATAATAACCAAACAAATATTGTTCAGTTCATTCTGTCCCACGAGCTAAGACCTTATACAGTAGCTGTTTATGTGGCACATTGTGAAATACTTGCTTGATTGTAGATTCTGCCAGTAAAATGGGATTTGAGCAGAATAGAGAGGGGTGATGGAATGGAAGGTGGATTGGCACTCATCCAGCATCTAAGACTGTGGAATAAGAGTTAAATTATAATATGTATAAATTAATGCACTAATCTTAGTTTTCCACTTGTTGGAGATTAAAATGCTGTCTAAGCTTTGAACCTGTTAACCTGATGCAAAAAAAATCAATATTCCACCAAAAGGATGGGAGTTTGATCTTTCACTCAACAATATACTCTATTATGTAACTATAATTCCTGTTGGGCCCATAGAATCACATTGATGTCAGAAATGTACATAGTCTCTGTAACCACCCTTTCAGCCAAATTTAATCTTCTCAAAGGTTTTACAGACTCCTGGATACCACAGGGATTCATAAGGGTCCAAAAATTTCTTTTTTCTTTCCTTCACGAAGTAATTGGAGGTAACATGAAAACAAAGTTAAATGAAAAAGGGTAGCAAAGGGTTTCAAATTTTTCAATATATTATTCTGAAATAGACAGAAGTGAAGACCTAAGTAAAAATATTTAAGTATATCTCCCTACAAATAAAAGCGAGATCAGCACAAGGGAAACAGTTGATTTGATGCAGCTTGTTAGTAATTATTTAATTCTGATATCTATTTGTGTTCAATTAGTTCATAATCTTATAAATAGAGACACGACAATGGATCTCAATCCCACAGAATCCATGTGAGGATTCCAGGATATCTACCATGTCTTGAACAATCACTTGTTCAGGGAGTGTTGTCAGCCAGAGCAAGAGCTTGAGCAGCAGCTGGAGTCACTGTAATGTATACTCAAGAGTGTAGAAAGTTTGTTCCTGAATGTGGTTATCTTACATCCTAAGATGCAGACAGAAGGGAACTGGAATACTGTCAGACAGTCAAGTAGAACTAGGCCGACAGTGCAGGATTCCCCTCAGCATATCTCACTCTCCAAAAGGTAACAGTTCTGAATAATGATGGGTGATCCTGTGCACGTAGAGCCACATCTTGTTAGGACACCGCTTAAACATTGCTAAAAGGAGACAAGAAGATGAAACATTTCATATTGCATTCATCAGAACTAGGAGCCAAGAAACAGACTTCAAACAGAGGACATCCTTATATACAGGATAAAATGGTGCTGATTGGTTGGGCCATAATTGACATGGAAATGCAGCAAGTACAATTAATTATCAATTTTAAATGTTAAGCCAGGCAGGCAGATTTTGATTGGTTAAAGCACTGCCATAGGGAAGAAACACTGTTTGGCTGTCTCCATGACTCCTTCTTAAGGAATTTATACATGGGTCATTTCTCTGGTGCTAGGTTCAAGGACATCACTGAGCAGATTGAGTGCACTGTGAACAGGGAGAATGAACAGCCAGAGGACCTGGTCCACATTGGCGCCTACAACTTGTCGAAAAAGAGGGGAATAAAAACCTACACAGAGTCTCTTTCCCAGCTCCCTAATATCTGGGTGCAGTTTCTTATTCCCTTCTTCATCTATAAATCATTTTCTGTGGCAGACAATTCCACAAGCTCACCAAGCTCTGGGCAAAGAAATTTCTCCTCATCTGATTCCTAAATGGCTTACCCCATAACCTTAGACTGTAACCTTTTGTTCTGGATGCCGTAGTCGTGAGAATATCCTTCCTGCATTTATTCTGTCTGGTCCTGTCAGAATTTTATAAGTTTCTATGAGATCGCCCCTCATTCATCTAAATTCCAGTGAAGTTAGTCCTAATCAATTCAAAGTCTTTCTGTGCAAAATTAGTTGAGTCAAGTAGAGTGACTGCATGGTGCTGCAATTATCTCTTGGTTGGGCAAGGAATTAAGGTATGATTTCCCACTCCTGGGTATAATTTAAATTCCCCAGCTGTCGTAGTGGGATTTGGACTCATATCTCCAAATCATTAGACAGGTCTCTGCATTACTAGCCCAGTAACAAAACACTACTCTGCTTCATACTTATGTTTAAAAACAAGAATGAGAATTTTAAAATTGAGACATGCTAAAGCAGGAGCCAATATAGGTCACTGAGCATTATTTACCTTGTAAGCAGTAGAGAGCTCCACTTTGCAATACCCGTTGAGTTTGACAATTCACGTATTTTTTAGTCAAAGTACCCTGCTTTTAACAACAGAAATATTGCATGGTAAATAAATGCAACAGAAGGAATAAAACATTTTCTAAATAATCCCATGCACCATTCATAACTACTGCACTCTATTAATTGGGACATTTCGGTGAAATTGCAATTGCCTCAATTATCAGATTATGTCAACTCAGCAAAATCCCAGAGGCACGGATTGAAATATGTAATAAATCAGTTAGTGTCCCATCAAATCTGCCCAATAATTGGCTCCACTGGTAATTAGGCATGCGTTCAGAACTGAACTTAGAAAAAAAAATCAGCATTAGATTGATTCAGTTTTAGTTTACAATATTTAAATTATGAACCTGTTCTTTGCCAGCCTAAGTTGGCTGACAATAAGGGCCCCATTTTCAGGCTGTTAAGATGTATTTTATTTGGATTTTCAGTGCTCACAAACAGTTTCTGTCAAAGTTATTGGCCCTATTTTTATCTCTACTTTTAGTTAATTTCCAGCAGTTAGTTAATCTGTCCAGTCTGCGAAAGATTTTTTTTTGTTTTCAAATTTACCATTTTAATGAGCCACATGACTTATACAAATGGTAAGGCTTACGGTTCTGACTCTGGTGAGGTTAGAAAATGCTACACTGGACAAGGCACAGACCATGGTTTTAGTTACACTTCAAAAAGAAAATTGTGCAAGTTGTGGAAACAATGTTACCTACCACAGAGAGCTATTGAAAGGTGTGGGTCATGACTTATAAAAAAAAATCAAAGCTATTGTTTAAGAGCATGCAAAGCTGCAGAGGCCTGTTGTAAAATCATGTTGATCTGAATAGATCTTAGGAATATTATTTAAGAAAGACTTCCAATTAAATATTACACATATATAAAGAAGATAATTACATACACACCGGACCCGAAATGTTAACTCTGTTTTTTCCTTCACAGATGCTGCCAGACCTGCTGAGCTTTTCCAGCAACTTTGTTTTTGTTCCTGATTCACAGCATCCACAGTTCTTTAGATTTTTATTTTTTATTAAGATAATTACATAGTTGCTCAATGGATGGTCACAGATGACAGCAGTTGTTCATTAACGTTTGTTGCTAAATTTAGCAGCTAATGACAGTTACTGTCCTTTGTACATAAGTATTATTAAAGTATTAATAATTTTAGTGTGGCATGTATAAGATGATCTGTAGTATCTGCATTAAAATTCAATATTAACATCTTTCTGATCCTCATTTAAACTTGAATTTAAAAAACCCTGACAGTGGTTCTCTGCCATCTTTTTTTCTGCTGGATTTGCTGAAACTACATCCTTCATTCAAATGCTAATAATGTATACATCTGGCCTGCATCCACATCATACACCTGAGTTACCAATCGGCTAATGCCTTTAACATTGAAGATGATACAAATGTAGGTGGTGTCATGTCCATTTCATGTCAGAAACTCTTGTGCACTTAAGAATCTGGGCCTGTATGATCGACTATGCTTCCCCGGTAAGACTAGTTTGCCACAGAGTCCAAACTCATACATAATGAATATATTACATGTATAGCATATATAAAATTAAAAAAAATATCAAAACAGGTTACATCTACAAATGTGCTAAATTTCAGTCATTGTGTGCTATAAAAATATTGGAATGTTACATATAGGCAAAGATTTCCCTGTAGTTACATAATTATTTACCTGAATCCAAAGGAGAGTATTCACTTTCACGTACCGAGCAGTCTTAATTTCCCAGCAAATTATTAGGAAGACAAGTTAAATGCATAGGGGATCAAGCAGGGCAGTATTGTTACAACTGTATAGGCATGGCTGAGACGATACTTGGAGTACTGCATTCAGTTTTGATCTCCTTATTTAAAGGGAGATTACTTGCATTGAAACTGTTCAGAGGAGGATCACTCAAATGATTCTCGGGATAAGGTACCCGTCTCATGAAAAAAGGATGATCAGGTTGGAACTGTACTTATTGGAGTTTAGAAAAATGGGGGATGATCTTATTGATACATATAAGATTCTGAGGGATCTTGACAGAGTACATGCCAAGAGGATGATTCCTTCTGTGGAGAATCTCAAACTCCGGGGAACTCAGTCTCAAAGTAAGGGGAAATGAGGAGGAATATCCTCTCTCAAAGGATCGTTAATCTTTGGAGTTCTGGACTCTGGAGAGCAGAGGAGGCTGGATCACTAAATGTATTTAGCATTGTATTAAACAGATTTTTGGTCCACAGAAGAGCCACATGCCATGAATTCAGGTAGAAAAGTGGAGTTAAAATACAATTAGATTGGGTCTGATTCAACTGAATGGCAGATGAGGCTGGAGGTGCCTGTTCTTACATTCCAGTGTTATTGTGCAAGAGGTTTGTTTGCTATCTGTGCAGTACTGAATTTCTCTGGCATCACCAAGTTGCCCGTCTGCACCATTCTAGTTTATTTAATGATCTAAATGACATGTAGCTGTCTGTTGGATTGGCAAGCATGTTTTGATAAGTATTGGCCCATAATTTCCTGGCAGTCCAGTGACTACAGTATTTGGATATCTGTCAGTCTAATCTGTGATGTTCAGACTCCTAGTACTGTAAAGTTTGTGCATCTGTTCTTCTCCTTTCTCAAGCAGTATATAGGCTCATTATATGTAATGACCTAGTTCACCTAGAGTTTCAGGAGGTTGCAACCTGTAAAGGTACATCTTGTTCTGAATAAACAAAATTCTGATTCTGGTTGTCCAGATTTTGCGCTACTGTTGAATTTTGCAAAATTTATTATTTATGGTTTGGCAGGTTTCTTGACTTTGAGAGAGACATCTGTTGGAGACAGAGCAGATTGCTAGTGAGAATCAATAGAGATTTGTGATTCATAGAATCTAATATGGTCTTGATACTCTTAAGGGAGTTTGTACAAATAACATTAATATTTGCAAGATCGTGCCCATGTGCACAATCTATTAACAAGCAACAAATTGCTTTTTCCTTTTAAAAATTTTAAATGTCTGCCTCCACTGTGCATATCGCTTCTAGATGGCATAGCTGAATGGCTATCCCAGGAACGAGTAGCTCGAGGACACAAGTATTGTTGACATGTCAGATGATATATTTCCCTAAGCTGGAATCATTCGTATTTTCATCCAAATGTGGGGCAATGTATTTTACATACATTCTGGAGAAGGATCAATACCACATAAAATTTGATAAGGATACAACAGATTTCATCCCTTATTTCACATCCTAGTCAGTTCCATCCAATAACTTATCGGTAAGGCACAAAATTTCCTTAGCTGCAACTCCTCCCACCTGGATTTGAGGAAGTCAAATTGTTAATCCAAATTCATTTAAACTGTGATTCCTCAGCTATACTGTGGAATCCCATTAGCAATTAACCATTTCCAGATGCCTCCTGTGTTTTTATTGTTCTCATGTATTTTTCAGTTACTAATGCCAGCAGATCTGACACTGGGCGATTAAAAAATCTGACTGAGATTCACAGAACTGGATCTGTGTTACATTAACACTGAGCATGAAAGTTCAGCAGATTATTTCTGCGATTTCTGTGCTCTTTTGACTGACCTATTGCTTCTACAGGATGGTTTCTCCGTGAAACTGCTGTGAAGGTAGAATAAAGCTTAACTTCCACTAAGGAAGTGGTTGATAGTCTTCCAGGGTTGCTGCAGAAGATTCAAGTGCAAATTGCATCAACTGCGTAATAGTTGATCAATTTGTTCAGAACTAAGAAGGACACTGGTGAGCTGACTGGGTAGCACGTACACTGTTATCCTGACATGTTAGTACATGTAGTTATCATAGCACCATTGCCATTCTACTGGATCAAGCTCAGCTCTTTTCATGAGAGTTCAGGAATTATATGGCAATGTTGAAGCCATTGGGCATGTGTAGCTCTTTCAGATTTTGTAATGCTAGGCTCTGAAAGGCAGAATTATCCTGTTAGAAGTCTGAGCTTCTCAATAACACACCAAAAGATGCATTGCTGTGGGTCTCCCTGAAGTTCTGATAGCGCTGACCACTTACTCCATTGTTAACTACATTATTTCTACATCCTGTAAGAAATCACTAATTGGGAAGGGGCTTTCAATGTCTTCACTTGCACGCTCTGCTGCAGGACTAGAATCCAATATTCCCTTCTGTCAGGTTACTTCATAAGTCATCAAATCCTCCTGCCTTTGTTTCAGTGTACTTGTGATCAGTATATCCCACTCTAGAACACTATGTAGGCTATTAACTGGTGCCTGCAATGGTATGGTTGAGTGATGCTTTATCTTTGTGCGCTTTGTTCACTTCTTGTTCTGATCCCTGAGGGCCCTGCTGAGCTTGTGGAGCTGCAATTCTTTTTTAAAGGTTTTCTTGGTTAAAAGAACATTTGGACTAGCCTCACAGAATTAAGACTAAAGATGTGAAGAAGTGCCATTTTGAAAGAACTGTATGATTGAAAATAATAAAAAATACCATTTGGGACTCCACACAGCAATTATCTGAAATCTCAACTTTAAAAACACAAATCTTTTATTGGTGAGATGTATTTGATTTATTCCTGGTATATGTAACTAGGAGAAGGAGAAGGAAGCTGTTTTATATTTTAAAAAGCGTCGCAATTTCCTCTGTCACACAACAATAATATCCCTCTAAGAGAAAAACATGAAAAATTAACAATTAAATTGTGATCTGTATTAGGCGATGAGTAATGATGAAGCATTTAATTTGATGATTCTAAGAGATGAGCTTTAAACCAGAAAGTATATACATTGCAAACACTACACACCTCTGGTCTCTATTATATAAAGAGGATGTAGAGGCAGTGCAGAAAGTGTGAAAAACAAGCGTCTAGAACCTAGACCCATCAAAATCTGAGCAAAGTGCTGCTGCTGTTTTCTCCAGAAAAGGGAAAACCGTGATCTGACTGACCAGAGGAAATTGGCAGAAAGGAGAAGATCCGGCCTATTTAGTCTGCCCAAAATAGCTTGAGGCTATGAAAGGCTTTAATAGGAT